TCCCCTAAGAACCCCTATCAGTGGACGGAAGCCTGTCAGACGGCCTTCACCACCCTCAAAGACCACCTCACCCACGCCCCCACCCTGGCTATCCCCGATTTTACCACCGATTTTATTTTGCACACCGACGCCTGCAGCAGCAGGCTGGGCGCAGTGTTGTCGCAGGTGCTGGAAGGGACGGAAGGTGTTATTGCGTATGCCAGCCGGACCCTGAGCGGGGCCGAGCTGAACTACTGCGTGACCCGTCAGGAATTGTACGCTGTGATCTTTGCGTGTAAATAGCTCCGACCATATTTGTACGACCGGAAATGTCGAGTGTGCACAGACCATTATGCTCTGAAGTTCCTCCTCACCTTCAAGGAGCCGCGGGGACAAATGGCCAGGTGGCTGGCGCAGCTGCAGGAATGCAACCTGCAGATCGAGTACCGGGCCGGGCGGACGCATGCAAACGCGGACGCCTTATCGAGGCAACCCGTGGTGTGTGCCGAGACGAGGGCGGAGGAGGCCTGCCCGTGCTTCACGGGGGGACGTTGCCGACAGGCAATGGACTCCCGGGAACCCGCTGAGCCTGACCCCCCCCCCCCCCCCGGCGAGAGAGAGTGCGGTATGCGCCACAGAGACCCCCACAGGTGGAGCCGAGGATCTAGCCGACCGCCCGGCAAGTGCGGGACCCACGACTCGGGACCCAGCAGACCACCCTGCCCCGATCAGACGGATTCAGGAGGACGTTGGCTGCGCCTTCCTGGGCCTGAACGATGAGCAGCTGAGGCAGACCCAGCAGCGGGATTCGGATCTGGCAGCGGTGGAAGCGGCCCTGCAGGAAGGGAAGAGCACCCTACCAGGGCCCTGGAGCGGTTTGTATGCCCGGTTGTTTGTGCAGAACGGGATGGTACGAGAGTTAACTGAGGCCGGCCAGCCGGCGTGCATCTGTGTTCTCGCCCAGGTGCGACCCCAGCTGCTGCGGCTGGTGCACGACCACTCGCTCGGGGGCCATGACAGGGAACAGCGCACTCGGGAGACCCTGCGTCGCCAGTATCTCTGGCCCAAATTGGCACAAGACATGGCCACCTGGGTACAGGGCTGCCGCGCTTGTCAGCAGTGCGGGCCGAAACCGGCACGATACCAGGTACCCTTAAGGCCGTTCCGCGTCAGTCGGACGAACCAGTTGGTCGGCATCGATCTCCAGGGGCCGTTTCCACGATCCCACCGGGGCAACCGCTATATCCTTGTAGCGGTAGAATACTTCACCCACTACCCCGTGGCGGTAGCCATCCCCAATAAAACGGCCCTTTTGGTGGCCTGGGCCTTCGTGGAGCATTACGTACTTAAGCATGGGATCCCAGAACGAGTCCTCACCGACCAGGGTAGCGAGTTTGAGGCCGAGCTGTTCCAAGTGCTGTGCCGAGAGTTCGGAATCCAGAAGGACCGAACCACAGCGTACCACCCCCAAGCGAACGGTATGGTGGAGCGCATGAATCAGACCTTACCGGGGAAGCTCAAACGTATAGCGGCCGCAAATCAATGGGATTGGGACGAACACCTCCACTACGCCCTGTTCGCCTACGCCACCACTGTATACACATTGATGGGACAAACCCCGTTCCTAATGATGTTTGGTCGTGAGTCTCGTTTACCCGCAGACCTGCTGTTTGGCGTTCCCCCACCCTAAACGGAGGAAGGGAGCCGCCCCGTGGAGCACCTGATGGAGACCCTACGAGGGGCCCGGGACCGGGCCTACCTGCATGGGGAGGCCGCACATCGGCGACAGGAGCAGGGCACTCGACCCTGCGTGGAGCCCCCCTCTTCTCGACAGGTGCAAAGGTGTGGCTACACACCCCTTGCGTCGGAGCCGGACAGGTGAGGAAGCTGACGACCTACTGGCGGGGACCCTGGACCGTGGTGCGGCAGATCTCCTCCTGGACGGTATTAATCCAGGGTGGAGAGAGGGGCCGAGAAACGGTGGTCAACGTCCGCCGCTTAAAACGATGGAGGGCAGCCCCGGCGGTGGAGAACCTCACCGCCCGAGTACCGCGAACCCATGGGGCCCCCACACCACCCGGGCTCGGGGGCCTCGCGCGCTACATGGGCCCCACCGGACCCCCAGCCCAGAGGCGTCCCGGCCACGCCAGGGGACGGCGGGGACGGCGGCCCCTAAACCCTTCTGCTGATGAGTTTGTGCCCCAGCCTGCAGGTGCCGAGGGACAGGGAGAGCCATTGGAGTGGAGGAGGAGGCCGCCGCAGGAACCCCAGAGGACAGAGCCACCCGTCCCGAGACCAGCCACGAGGTCTGGACGGATCCCTCGGACCCCGCAGCGCTTCCTCGTGGGTGCGGCCCAGACGAGGTGCTCCAGTCAACCCGGGACGGGGACTGGCACCTCGGGGAGCTATGTGATGCCGCTGCCGTGAAGCCACTCGGCAGGCGCCCCATCTACAACCTCGCCACCACCAAGCGACGGGGCCGACCCCGCTTCCCACTCACCGCCCCCACAAAAACACACCCTAACACATTTTGCCACATAGAGCTCCGAGGGGAGGTCTCCTGGCCGGCAGGTTTTTACCCGAAAGCCCTCATAGGGATAATCTTCACGGTTTCCTGCGGCCAGGGAATTGGGCGACCTCCCCCGATGCTGGTTCGCACCGCGGCGCTGTGACCCGGGTTGAGATTGCATGGTCACGGCGGGGGCTGTCCAGCCACCACGGTTGAAACGCACCCCCTACACCACGTATCGACAAGGCCAGCAGGGGTCCACAGCCACGAACGAAGGGGAAGCCAAGGAGGGGGAGGGGACGGCTGATTAGCGTGGCAGGTGTGCGCGGGGACTGCCACCGCGCAGCAGCTGCGGCGAGCGTTTGTTATGGACACCGCGGCTGATTGGCATAACAAAGGCGCCCGTGGATCATCGCCAGCGCCGCAATCGGCGGGGAACCCATTGTTAGAGAAACTGGGAATGCGGCTGAACGGGCGTGGTGACCTGATTGGCCGAGAAGGCGCTTGGGTCGGCGTTCTTTGATGTAGGTTGAGGATAAAAAGAGGGCGCAGAGAGGTAGAACGCTCTCTTGCTCCAAAAAGTCAGCGCTCGGGACGGGGTCCAGCTCGGCCACTCGAACGTCCATACCACGCGTCGAGGTGAGCGGCAAGGACGAGACCAACGGAACGCCGTGCGCATCTAACCGTGAGTAAGAGGTAAAGGAGTATTGGGATTAGAGATAGAAAAACCAAATCTGCTTAGAGCCTATCGAATTAGATAAATCGGGTACAGACCCTTGGGCGATAGTGTAGGCCTGCCTTGTCGATCCTTACTGACTTAGCAGCGAATCAGTCAGCCGGCAATAAATCATTAATAACTAATCGTAGCCACGTGTGGTTTCGACGAGAGTGTGAATGCGCGCGGTGCTGTGTGTACGTACGCTCACAGCGTGTGAGTGCTGCGCGGGGCTGTGTGAGGGGAGGTATCGCATTTGATTGACGGTGCTGTGTGTGCCTATGCTCACAGCATGTGAGTGCTGCGCGGGGCTGTGTGAGGGGAGGTATCGCGTTTTTACAGGGAGGAACAATGTTCCACACTGCCCACCAGGGATTAATTAGCTGTCTGTCTGACTGTCTGTATGTCTGTCGTGCATAAATAAATATATAATACACACAGCTCTTTGATTGGTGGAGACCTTACAAACAGCTCTTTGATTGGTGGAGACCTACTGCCGGGTACGGAGAGGGGAGGTGCCTAAGGGAGGAGGGTCAGGGGAGGGGCCTAAGGAAGGGGGGAGTCAGGAGAGGGGCCTGAGGATATGGGGAGGGGGGTGGTCAGGGGAGGGGCCTAAGGGAAAGAAGGTCAGGGGAGGGGCCTAAGAGGGGAGGGGCCTAGGGGAGGGGGGGGCGATAATTCAGGGGGCTGTCTGCCTGGCTACCTAAAGTCAAGTTATCTTTTATACATACAGGTACGAACAACAGGTTCCACACTGCCCACCAGGGATTATTTGTCTGTCTGTCGTGCACAAATGCGCTGTCCAACCAAGTTCCTACCTGCCCACTCCGAAGGAACGTGTTTGAAGGGGAGGCAACGCAGTGTTAACAGGCGTACGGGAGCCGGCGACGAGCCATGTCTCTCTCTCGAACCCGAGATGGGGGGACGCAGGGAGGCGAACCGTCAGGCGACAGTCTCTGCCCCGTGAGCGATGAGCCCAGCAGCGAGGGGTCGGGAAGCAGCGGGACCCCTTCAGTCAGAACATAGCAGGGAGAGATCTCGGGGGCCAGCGACATTCACAAAGTTCACGTGTGGTGGTGGTGGTTGTGGTGATGGTTATTGTGGTGATGGTTGTTGTGGTGATGGTTATTGTGGTGGTGGTACTTGTTGTTGTGCTTGTTGAGGTGTTTGTTGTGGTGGTGGATGTGGTAATGGTTGTTGTTGTTGCTGCTCTTCCGCCTTCTCCTGGCGAGCACCAGGGCCACATGGCACCTCGTCGACTCCCAGCAGCGTCAGTGGTGATCCCCCCCCTCCCCCACAGTACTTGGTCACAGCAGCGTCAGTGGTGATCCCCCCCCTCCCCCACAGTACTTGGTCACAGCAGCGTCAGTGGTGATCCCCCCCCCCCCCACAGTGTTGGGGCGGGCGTGGGGGGAGAGGAGGAAGGGCAACGTGGTGACGTCATCGCGTTGGGGGAGCGTGCGTGGTGACATCACCACATCCATGACGTAGCATGAGATGACTTGAACAGCTCGGACATTGTTGGAGCTTTTTGTGTTTGGCGCCATCTCTTTATTTGTTTATTAGTTTGTAGATTTAATTTGCTTGGCAGTGGCTGTGTAGAGGATTTGGTCCTCGTGTTTAATTAATTAACAGCGTTGCGGGATGCAGTGAGCACGATTGACGCTGTACACAACTGCAATGTTTGTGTTCAATTTTTTTTTATTGTAGAAACAACGATACAAGCTTTACAATGCCACTGTCATACGCATACATTTAAACTTTTTAAAATTTATATTATTATTGTTGTATCTCTCCCACAATCCATGACACCACCGGTGTATAAACACATCCTAGTTCACCATTGATAATCACTGCACCCCTACACTACAGTCACACTCCTCTGGGAGGGTGAATACATCCACGTTGGCTTCACACACACACAGAGCGGTACTTATTTTATCACCCCCCCTATGAAGGTTGTGAGGATTGTTTACGCTCAGCCCCCCCGTTGTGATGGAGAGCCACGCAGCCCCTAGCCACCGACAGCCACCAGCCAGCCAAGGGCGTGGCACTGCACGTAACGGTGACGAGGGTGGCGAGCGCCGTGCGTCGTGGCGTCTGCCCTCTGCTCTGTTCACGTTCATCTCTCTCAGGACGCACCACTCAGATCCACAATCGTTACTGACTCATCGTCATCATCCCACCACCCCAGCCACAGCCCAGGGTGTAGGGGCTGAGTGAAGGTTTGGTGAAACGAGTGCAATGGCGCCATGGAGTCGGCGCAGTAAAACGTCAGCAGCCCCGCGTCCCAGTCCAGATGGACCCCGACTCTCCGCGGAGGCTCCGGCACCGACAGTGAGGTCTCTACCCCGCCATGCCGCACTGAGAAGCTGTCGCCTTGTTTCCGTAGACACCATGAGACGTCACTCTCTCCCAGGAGGCACTCACCACCATCCCCTCTCCGTGGGATCGTCCCGTACGCGACTCCAACCCGACACCCCCACGCGCTCCCCACGTCCACCTCCCAGTAGTGCTGACCCGACGAGAACCTCTCAGAGCACAGCGCTTGGCACTGGTACTCAAAACGATGTGGGTGATGGGGGCGACGCTGCGGGACATCGCTCCACGTCACCGTCCTAAGGTCCGAGGAAATCTTGAGGTGGTCGTTGGCTGAGTTTGTGTCCAAAGTTGGTGAGCGTCCATCTGTGGTGAGGACAGCGACGACGCCCACACAAATATTAGTTAGTATTAGTGGACACATACTAATATTAGGTAGTATTAGTGTACACATACTTATATTAGTTAGTATAAGTGTACACATACTAATATTAGTTAGTATTAGTGTACACATAATATTAATATTAGTGTACACATACTAATATTAGTATTAGTGTACACATACTAATATTAGTTAGTATTAGAGTACACATACTAATATTAGTTAGTATTAGTGTACACATACTAATATTAGTATTAGTGTACACATACTAATATTACACTATGGGGACCTCATTTGCCAGTAAAAATATGATAATTGGTTCTTTACCCTTCTATCTGGCAACAAAACTGACACCTTTTTGCAAGGAGTCATGTTTGCATAGACCGCAATACCTGCAGTCATAAATACAAACAAAAGACATAACTCTGATAATGTGCACTGTCCTTGAAGTTGATTGGTCCACACCCGAGACAGCTTTCCTTCGAGCCTAGTCTCATATGGGTTGGACCAGATGACGCCAAAAGGCGCACAACTCAAGGACAATGCACCATCAGAGTATGAGAGCTCGGGGCAAGCATCTACACTATGGGGACCTCATTTGCCAGTAAAAATATGATAATTGGTTCTTTACCCTTCTATCTGGCAACAAAACTGACACCTTTTTGCAAGGAGTCATGTTTGCATAGACCGCAATACCTGCAGTCATAAATACAAACAAAAGACATAACTCTGATAATGTGCACTGTCCTTGAAGTTGATTGGTCCACACCCGAGACAGCTTTCCTTCGAGCCTAGTCTCATATGGGTTGGACCAGATGACGCCAAAAGGCGCACAACTCAAGGACAATGCACCATCAGAGTATGAGAGCTCGGGGCAAGCATCTACACTATGGGGACCTCATTTGCCAGTAAAAATATGATAATTGGTTCTTTACCCTTCTATCTGGCAACAAAACTGACACCTTTTTGCAAGGAGTCATGTTTGCATAGACCGCAATACCTGCAGTCATAAATACAAACAAAAGACATAACTCTGATAATGTGTACTGTCCTTGAAGTTGATTGGTCCACACCCGAGATAGCTTTCCTTCGAGCCTAGTCTCATATGGGTTGGACCAGATGACGCCAAAAGGCGCACAACTCAAGGACAATGCACCATCAGAGTATGAGAGCTCGGGGCAAGCATCTACACTATGGGGACCTCATTTGCCAGTAAAAATATGATAATTGGTTCTTTACCCTTCTATCTGGCAACAAAACTGACACCTTTTTGCAAGGAGTCATGTTTGCATAGACCGCAATACCTGCAGTCATAAATACAAACAAAAGATATGACTGCAGGTATTGCGGTCTATGCAAACATGACTCCTTGCAAAAAGGTGTCAGTTTTGTTGCCAGATAGAAGGGTAAAGAACCAATTATCATATTTTTACTGGCAAATGAGGTCCCCATAGTGTAGATGCTTGCCCCGAGCTCTCATACTCTGATGGTGCATTGTCCTTGAGTTGTGCGCCTTTTGGCGTCATCTGGTCCAACCCATATGAGACTAGGCTCGAAGGAAAGCTGTCTCGGGTGTGGACCAATCAACTTCAAGGACAGTGCACATTATCAGAGTTATGTCTTTTGTTTGTATTTATGACTGCAGGTATTGCGGTCTATGCAAACATGACTCCTTGCAAAAAGGTGTCAGTTTTGTTGCCAGATAGAAGGGTAAAGAACCAATTATCATATTTTTACTGGCAAATGAGGTCCCCATAGTGTAGATGCTTGCCCCGAGCTCTCATACTCTGATGGTGCATTGTCCTTGAGTTGTGCGCCTTTTGGCGTCATCTGGTCCAACCCATATGAGACTAGGCTCGAAGGAAAGCTGTCTCGGGTGTGGACCAATCAACTTCAAGGACAGTGCACATTATCAGAGTTATGTCTTTTGTTTGTATTTATGACTGCAGGTATTGCGGTCTATGCAAACATGACTCCTTGCAAAAAGGTGTCAGTTTTGTTGCCAGATAGAAGGGTAAAGAACCAATTATCATATTTTTACTGGTAAATGAGGTCCCCATAGTGTAGATGCTTGCCCCGAGCTCTCATACTCTGATGGTGCATTGTCCTTGAGTTGTGCGCCTTTTGGCGTCATCTGGTCCAACACATATGAGACTAGGCTCGAAGGAAAGCTGTCTCGGGTGTGGACCAATCAACTTCAAGGACAGTGCACATTATCAGAGTTATGTCTTTTGTTTGTATTTATGACTGCAGGTATTGCGGTCTATGCAAACATGACTCCTTGCAAAAAGGTGTCAGTTTTGTTGCCAGATAGAAGGGTAAAGAACCAATTATCATACTAATATTAGTTAGTATTAGAGTACACATACTAATATTAGTTAGTATTATTGTACACACACTAATATTCGTTAGTATTCGTGTATATATACTATTATTAGTTAGTATTAGTGTACACATACTTATATTAGTTCGTATTAGTGTACACATACTAATATGCGTTAGTATCAGTGTACACAATAATATTCGTTAGTATTCGTGTACATATACTAATATTCGTTAGTATTAGTTTACACATACTAATATTAGTTAGTATAAATGTATTCATACTGCTAATCACTTATGATTAATTAGTGAATGATAATAAATAACTATTAATTAATAATAAAAGTACTACACTAACATGACCATGGGTCTGTGTGCAGTGGTAGTGAACAGTGGTGATAATGCCAGCACCACGATGTTAACGCCACTCTCACAGCGTCTCTCTACAAACACGACGCCTGTACCACAGCCCACAGCCTCGCACACTCTCACATCCACACACACACACATTGTGTGTCACAGCCTCGCACACTCTCACATCCACGCACAGACATTGTGTGTCACAGCCTCGCACACTCTCGCACCCACACACAGACATTGTGTGTCACAGCCTCGCACACCCACACACAGACATTGTGAGTCACAGCCTCGCACACTCTCACATCCACGCACAGAAATTGTGTGTCACAGCCTCGCACACTCTCACACCCATACACATAGTGGGGATTGTGAACGTTGAAACGTAGAGGGGCAGTACAACAATGGTTCATGCTGCACTGCCCTCTGCTGGTGTGTGTAAACATTCGGCACGAGGGAGACAAAGGCGGCCGGGCATGGTGTTGGCCACCCACCCCCTTGTGTGCCGTTCCGGCCGTCACGGCTACTCGCTCACAGCACATGACCCATTGGTCTGTTCAGGCTGCACGGGGCAGCTTTGTCTTTTCAGGCACTGTATGTACAGTGTTTCACTCTGTGTCGCTGTGCCTGTACTTCTCACTTGGCTTACTCTCGATCTGCCTGATGTCATCTCCCTCACCTGGTATGCAGGAGGTTGTGGGTTTGATCCCGACCCGGGCAATGCCTGCTGCTGCTGTATATTTTGAGTCTGTGTCTCTCTCTCTCATCATCATCACAGTGGCTAGGGAGATGTTAACAACCTCGCCAGGTATACAGGAGGCGTGGGTTCGATACTGTGACCCTGACAATGCCTGCTGCTACAAATTTAGAGTCTGCGTCTCTCTCTCTTCATCAGCACAGTGGCTAAGAGATGTTATCTCCCTCGCCTGCTATGAAGGAGGTCGTGGGTTCGATCCCGACCTTGACGATGCCTGCTGCTGCTGTATATTTGGAGTGTTTGTGTTTATCTTCCCGTGGTGGTCGCGTGGATTTTTTTTCGCGTCCTCCAATTATTCGCTTCACATTTAGACTCAACTTCATGCGTTAAGATCATTTGGCTGCTACTATAAATTTCCACGTGATAATCCACTTCTTTGAGTTGTCATTTGCGGCCAGTTCCCTTGTGAAAAAGAGCCACATAGCTCAGCAGACCTTACCTGGTAGAACACAAATGTTTTAAAGATGCACGCCCCAAGGATACGCCACCTGTCTTAAACAAAGTGCAGCAGCCTACCGAGTGGTGCCGATCTGCATCGTTTTGTTTGTCATGAACGATGTTGACAGAGATCAGTGCAGAGTGCAGAGAGAGACTCACACACGAGAGCCATGCGCTTCGTATACACTCCTCCTAGCGAGATGACCTCTGTGAGCTCTTGGTGACTGAATGTGGCAGGAGGCGCATCCTGGATCCCATGCGAGTCCGATTTCCTGCACTCAGCACGGGACACACAGAGTCTATGGAGGGTGCAGTCCCTCCACACATACAGCACGGGACACGCAGAGTTATTGGAGAGCGCAGTCGCTCCACTAACACAGCACGGGACACGCAGAATCTATAGAGGGTGCAGTCCCTCCACTCACACAGCACGAGACAGGCAGAGTTTAATGCAGGTCCATGTCTCTCGACACACGGACAATAAGGGATGCAACTGCATACAATTGGGTTTATTAGGAATCACATCACGACCGTTTGCTGATTTGTCCACCAGGTGGCAGAAAGAGCTCGAGTTTGAGTGTGGGTTGGTACTGACCTGAGACTCTCATGCAGGGGATCCTGAAAAACACAAACCCGCGTTTCACATTAACATTGACATCTTAAATAGATGCCCACCTCGACACAATCACCTGCTGTTTGCAGTGGAGCGCGACATCAAATAATTAATAAATACTAGCAAACAGAAAATGATGAAAATTATTTGTGTGCCTTTGTACTGTTAAGCCTATTCTTAATTTCTATATTTTTTATTTCTATTAAAGTTTCTATCTACGTGACTTTACCGAAAGAACCATAGAATATGAATTCCTGCAGTCACAAAAACGTTATTCAAAACATAGAATACCTATTATTATTTTTTCATCAAAACAGGATTCGTTGAACTGGACACGGACCCCAACCAATGACAAAGCCACTCTTTGCAGGTCTAGTCTAACAGCTAAACAAATAGTTAAGTAACGTAACGTTCAACAACTCGTGTTTTGAACTATGAATAAACTAATCTTTTGTATTTTACCAGGAAAGGGCCACTTGGCCATGTCACTCTTGTTCAGTAGCGAGCTGCCTATCAGAAATGATGTCTCAACGAGCTGGCTTATGTGGACATTTATAAAAGCAGCCAAATTCTCTGAATGCATGATGTTGATTCTAAATGTGGAGTGAAAAACCAGAGGACCTGAAAAAAAATCTATGCATTCACAGAGAGAGAGACGTAGACTCCAAATTTACAGCAGGCATCGTCAGGGTCGGGGTCAAACCCACGACCTCCTGCATACCAGGCGAGGTAAATGGCGATGTTGTACAAGTCCCGGTCTGAATGTCACACGGAAGCAAACGCGTGACTATTTTTGGACACTGCCGCTTTCTCCCAGATCGAAAAAAACTGAAATAAGATTTCAAACAATGTCAACGTCTCACAGGGTGGTGTGCCTCTGCTGGTTGTAGATACACCTTCTGATAAACCAAGGCTGTGAGTATAAACTATTATAAACTACTTTTTGATACCTTATCAGGTAAGGCCCACTGAGCTATATAGCTCTGCTTCAGAAGTAACCTTGACAGAAATTAAAATTAAAGAAGTGGCTTATCGCGTGGAAATTTATAACAGAAAATTACAATGAACACGTGATGTGATTCTAAACGTGGAGGGAAAAACCGGAGGACCACACATCCACAATGAGAGAGGCACAAACTCCAAATACACAGCAGACGTCAGGCGAGGTAGTTAACATCTCCTAGCCACCGCGCCGAGTTAATGGAGGTGGTGCCACCTGCAGGAAGGAGAGTGGGTCCTGCACGGCGAGGGCGGCGAGCAGCTGGTTGATCTCCTGCTCCAGGCCGCGTGCTTTGCTCTCGTAGCGAGCGATGTCTACCTGGATGCGGGACAGCACGGAGTGGCCCTCCTCGTCCACGTGCTCCAGCGCCTCCCTCTCCTCCACCCTCAGCTGCTCCCTCCGGCGCTCAAACTCTCGGCTGATCCGCGCCTTGGTCCCACGCACATACACCTACACAGACAATTCCGAGTTGTTGAGTCACTTGTTAGGTAACGACACAATGTGCTGTCGTACAGGTAATTATTGTTACCATGCCTCGATTATGTACATGGAGGTGAGTGACATGTGCATTGGGAGCTCGTGAACATATAAAGCACAGGGAGGATGAGAACGGGATACAAGGGGAAAATATCCTCGGCAAGGAGATTACAGAAAATACGTCTGTCTGTAGCTACACGTTGCTGAGTGTCTATCTGGTGAAAATGAAAAACATCTTCATGGATATCATTCGCATCTGTCTGTCCATCACACTCTGGATCTACCAAACGGTGCATGGGAAGAAAATGCGAATTAAACTGAAACAATTCTCTTGCCGAGGACATTTCCAGAAAAATGTGTCAAAGTTTCTGCGAATATACAGAACAAATACAGGTCACATTGCTCTTGTTTTAATTTGAAATGTGCTGAAAGAGTCAAACAATGCTGATTTCGATAGCAATACGTCCACTCTTCCTTACACTCAGTCTAAGTTGGTCTGATTCAAGATTTGGAGGAGCCAGTGAGGAGGAATTGCAAAATTCCATAGCAAGCATCATGGTTGTGATCAATGAAGGAATCGACAGGGCAAGTCGCCAATGCATCGTCCAGCGTGGATCGATTTTGCCCCCCCTATACCAAAACTGATGTCATGTTGGAAGTTTCGTCATGAATGAAGTTTCTGTGTCATACCGTGGTGGCCTTCTATTCACGTAGTAAACGTGTTTTGGACATCTGGCCGTCCTAAACTGGTTGTAATGCTTCCCACATTTTTTTTCCTGATGTGTAAAAATACACAAAAGCAATATATTTAATTGAAGATTCAAGTTTCAAAAAGGGTATATGCTGAAAAAATTGGCTTTAAAAAAGGTGTTGACAGACAAACACAGCTACGATCTCTCCGTTACAGTTTGATGTCGTTAATTTTGTAGATTGAAAGTAGTCAGTAAGCGAGTTGTCATTGGGATACGATTCGCTTGAAATCCACACCGCTTGCAATTTACCAAAGTTGAATCCCACGCAGATGCGTGGGGCAGTGCTCGTCAATAATAAGAGTTACTTCAGCAGTTTTTTCTCGCTATGGTTGTCCCACCTGATGACGATTGCTTGTGTTGCGATCGAAATGTCGTGATGGATTATTTTTTCTACCTATGTGACTTTACCGAAAGAACCAAAGAGTTTAATAAGAGTTAGGTTTAATTAAATACGATTATTAGGCAAACCAGAAGAGGGAATTGTGCGGCTGCCATCTCTCTCTGTACCTCCACGCGCCGGTAGTCATCCCTGAGTGTCAGTGCCCGTGACGCCGCCGTGTTCCTCTTCGCCTCTTTCCCCTCCTTCTTGATTCTGAGCTTCTCCTGCGTGTGGTAGATAAATTAATAATATACGCGATGCTCGCTATTGCCATTAGTGGATCACTGATTGATCATCCAGCATCTCAGATTAGCACGATTGGCTATGAAAGAAGTTCAACTCACATACGCACATCTGTTGTCATATTTCTGCATACGTCTCTATTTATATTTTTACTTTTCCCACGATTGTATCCCGAATGTACTGTCCGTGTTATGCATTGAGATGAAGATTCCAATCGTTACTACTGCAGAGCAATGCAATATCCTGTTAGATAGCATTATTGACAAATATCACGTACATTCTAAAATGTTTTTAACCTCTTCCAGCGATGGGTGTAGTTGCTTATCACATGTGTGATGCCGCCGCCACGAAGCCGTTCGGCAGGCGCCCCATCCCCGACCTCGCCACCACCAAGCAACGGAGCCAACCCCGCGTCCCCCTCACCTCACCTCACATGAACACACCCGCACGCATTTTCCCCCACCCATAGAGCTGGAAGGGGAGATCACCTGATCGGCCGGTTTTTATCCGAGAAACCCTTATCGGGATTAACTCTCACGGTTTCCGGCGATCAGGGAATTGGACGACCTCCCCCGTGCTACGTTGCGCCGCGGCGCTGCGACCAGCCTTAATATGGTATGGTCGCGGCGTGGGGCACTCGGCCACCGCGGTTGAGGCGCATTTCCCCCCACACACACCCCCACGGGTCGACGAGACAGGCGGAGGAGGGAGGGGGCGGCATAGTTTAGGGTGCGCAAGAGCGCGGCGCCATGCATGAGAGGGAGATTAATACAGGAGCGTGGTTGGAATCGGCGCCGCAGCACATCCGATTAGCATAACAAAAGCGCCGTGGAGGCGCCGCGGAGCCGCCGTGCTCGTGCAAGGGGGGCGCGAGCCATTGTTTAGAGTTTACGCCGCGCGAGCAGGACATTGATTAGCATATGTGCCGCTCATGAGTGGAGAGCATTCGGGAGTACGGGACAGAGGATAAAAGGGATCGCAGCAAGGTAGAGAGAGGTCACTTCTCTTCAAGAGGCACGCGTTCAAGTCGGCTCCCATCTCTGCCATCCGGACGTCCGCGTGACGTGCCCCGACGGCATAGAGGAAAAGCCACAGGACGCCGAATACTTCGACCCGTGAGTAGCAAGGTGACAGGGTATCGTAAGCCGATAAATAGGGAATAGGTCCAGGGGAAGTAGGATAGGCCAGCCTCGTCGACTCACTGATTTAACATCAATTCGCAGGTAGTATATAATAAATCATTAATAGCCAAGCGTGGCGTCGTGTGATCTTGTTGAGCAGTGTGTCGCGTGTGGAGCTGTGTACACAGCTGCTCGTCACGTGGGAGCGCTGCGTAGAGCGGCGCACGAGTGGGTATCGCGTGTGCGCAGGTGGGTGCGCTCGTAGTGTGGTGAAAGGGTTCGGTGCGCCCACAGGTACCAGCTCCGTCTATTACCGCAGGGACTCGCGCAGTGTGAGGGCAGCGTCATTCGCCCTCCGACCCCAGACCCCCGTTTAATAGCGCATGATTCATGGAGAGACAACGCAGCGTTTACAGGTGAACGAGAGCGTGCGGCGAGCGATGCCTCTCACACGAGCTCGGGGAGGGACGGACAAGGGGGGGGAGCCGTCGGGCGATGAGCCCAGCGACGGCAGCAGCTGCTCGCAGAGTAGCGAGGGGTCAACGAACAGCAGAGCCCCTGCCATAGGCACGGAGCAGGGAGGGACTTCGGGGACCAGCGGCCCCAACACATGCCTTACTATACATAGCAACGTTTCTCACTTAGTCAAACTAATATTTTGAATTCTCACGTGCTGTCAAATGTTTACTCGGCTTAGACCATCAACTCACTAAACTTGAGAATCCGATTTAAACCATGCGCAGCCGACTAGATTCAAACTCAGAATAACAGCGTTACCATCTCAACGTTCTGAAATCAGAGCCACCCAGCCACCTCTACCTGGGTCTCCCTGTAAAGGGCGTTTGGTCTTAACAGGAGCTCACCTGGTTGAGGTAAGGGGTCACGACCTACTGATGTGAATCTCTCAACCTCCTGTAACAATGGGGATTACAACGGAACATGACACTTCACCTGTCTTGTCTGTTGTGCTTTTTCCACTGTGATGAACCTGTGCCCAGAGTGGTCTCCTGCGACGTGGCAGACAGGGCAGACCGGGCTATCATCTTGTTCACAGTAAAGAATGAGCTCCTGTATGTGCTCCCGACACATTCGCTGTTCCAGGTTCGCAATGGGAGCCACCAGGAGGTGTTCTCTCAACCTGGGATTCTCCAAGTGAGGCCTCAAGTGCGTTGCACAGTACGATGTCTCGCATGTCACGCAGGTCTTCACTGCAGGAGTCTGGCCGTCCCTGCAGTTGTCACACACGACGGCCGTGTCCATCCCGTCTCCAACTCTGAGCTGCTCTGCCAGGTTGCCGAGGGCCACGTTCCTCCTCAGCTGGGGTCGCACAGGGAAGGTCACTCGGCACTGCTGGCATCTGAAGCTGCTCGCCGTCTCCCAGGCTGCCTCCAGGCACCGGAGGCAGAACGAGTGTCCGCAGCTCAGCGAGGCGGGGCAGACGAACGTGCCCAGGCAGATGGAGCAGCACAGCTCACTATCCACACTCTCACTGGGAGTCTTGCTTGCCATGATCTATGGCTTCGCTCTGATGGCTCAGAGAGACGCTGGAACAGGACCTCTCTCTTATAGCGAAGGTGAAGAAGGAAGTAACATACAAAATAATATTTTCATTGCCATCACTTACATCACGAGACACTCCCTGGAATGTGAACCCGTGCCCCTATGTGTGCAAACAGCAGCCTCAGGGTGACCAAGTCTACTGTATACACCTTGACACTTAAAGAAATGCGTGCTGTTGTAAATATAAAGCTGCGTGGGTCATTTGTGGGATGAGTAAAGAGAGATAAACTCATTCTTCCACAGCTTAGGATGCGGTGTCTGTACCACTGGCTCTGCACTGCAAACCCGATTGGTAACGATGATCTGAATCTGTCCTGGTCCTCATCCCCTAGGTCAACTTAGCCTCAAATGTATACTTTGTGCGATGTGTCATAAACATTGCTACTGGGAACACAGAGGCGGCCAGGCGTGGTGCTGGCCACCTGCCCCATGGTGAGCTGTTCCAACCTTCATAGGTGCTTGTTAGAACACTTGCCCCTACAGTCTGATGAGGGTATATCGAGTATCTTTGTCCTGTAGTGATGTATATGCATTTGTGTGTCTCTAGAATGTTTGTGAGTCTGTCCGTAGTACTGTTTATTGCTTCTGCGTGTGTATAATCTGTGAGTGTGCCTGTGAGTAGTCCTGTACAATATATACTTCTGTTTGTCTCCAGTCAGTGTGAGTCTCTGTGAATAGTACTGCACATGCTTCTGTGTATCTCCAGACTGCGTCTCTGTGTGTAGTACTTTGCATGCTTCTGTGTGTCTCTAATACTGTGCCTCCCATGAAATACATCTCGAGGTAGCAGAACAAACAAGGAGTTGATATGTTTGCAGAGTAAGACAGTGATAAGCTATGCTATACGATGTTTAACACAATCGTTTTTAAAGTGTGCAAAAACAAAGTAAATTAACAAACAACAACTGTTTGAAACGACAGTTTGTATGGCGACATCATTTGAGTTATTCATACGCAATCTGAAAATAACGTCTTCAATTCAGTCTTCAATTTATTATTCGTAGGTGTACTATTGATATGTGGGGCCGTCCATAACGGACGTCACGCACCTAGGGGAGGGGTCAGACATTTGTGACGATGTGTGACGAGGGGGGGGGGGTTGAGAAATGAGACGTCACATCAAAATGCGCAACTTTAAATAAATATAGACAACAAGTTCTACTTAATTAAATAGACTTTTTTTTATAAATGTTTCCTACTACAAAATCAGAGTGCAGCACCACATTAAATACGCACTACAATGACAATAGTTTAAAGCGATTTGAAGCATGTTTTTTTCTTTGGGGGGGGGCAGAGCTTTGTGGCGTCATATTTAAGGGGGGGTCTGACTTTTTGTGACGTCGTGTGACGAAGGGGGGGGGGGGTAAAAAATCGTCCAAAATCGCGTGATGTCATTTATGGACGGCCCCTGTATGGGTTAGTTGTTGCAGAAGTTGGTACCCCTGCAAGTTGTTAACGGTAGATAAAGGGTCCCGTGGACGTTATACCGGAGTAGGACTCTGAACCTGACCTGCACTAAACACGTGGCCTGGATGTATTTGGTCAGCTCGGGCAAAAAAGGCAGACACACACGTGAACTTACACACAGACATTGACCCACACACATAGAAACACATCGACCTAGACGCACACACATATATATGGTTAAACCCAGGATGGATCGTTAGCAGGCCAGCCTAAATATTTGTAACCAGCGAAGATGTTCCATTAGGGGGGTGCACGCTTCGCAAGCGTAGAGAAGGGGGGGAATTACCGTGGCCGAGAAGACCTGGAGCTTCATGTGCAGCCAGAGACCATGTAGCTTCCACACAGTGTAACGCAGCCGATGAAAAGAGAATGGCGCTCGACTGATTTGGAGTAAGACCTCTGCTGTTAAACCAGAGCCGGTCATGAGCACACTGGCCAGGTATGGGAATCTCTCCGATCTCTCCACAACTGCCGCATCACCAATTGTGAGTTGTGGGAGTGGATTGTCCGATGGTACAATACCCAGGCAGGTGCTTAGTTTTGGTGGGGCTGATGGTAAGGCCCCAACTCTTAGTTGCAAGCTCCAGATTCAGCAGCAGTGAGCAGCAATCACCAGAGCATCGGCATACATAACATGGTTGAGCAATAGGTAGCCATCCCTTGACCGCACCCGGGCATCGATCAGCCTCCCATTGTATCTGTACCATATGGCAATTCCTCCGGTACAGCCATTGAAGGCTTCACTAACTACGTGGTCAAAAAATATGTTAAATAATGTGGGAGCTCGAGGACATCCCTGTCACACCCCAAGGTGTACAGGGAATGGCTCTGACTCCTGGCCAGGTAGTTTTACCCGGGTCCGCTCACCATCATGAAGATCCTTGATGATCATGAGCAGCTGGTCAGGGACTCCGAAAGCATGAAGAACAACCCAGAGGCCTGGCCTACTGATGGTATCATAGGCCTTGAGCAGGTCAATAAAGCACACACATTCACTCACACGCACACAATGACCAACAGACACGCAAATAAATGGACTTATACTGACTCACATGGAGCCACGCACACAAAGCGACTAACACACACGCCCATGGACTGACACACACGGACATATCGACTCACACACACAAACACATAGACACACACATAGAGTGAAACACACACGTATGGACTTACACACACATATGGACTAACACACACACAGCGGCTGATATGCACACAAATGGACTAACACACACACAAACACTTGTACGTATGTAATTCAAGCGTAAGCGAGGTTTCGCCGCTCAGCTCTGGGCCAATCGGACGGCCCGGAGTATTGGGGGCGGAGCCCAGTAAGGTGGGCGTATGGGGAGGTCCGCCGCCTACCTCCGGCCCAATCGGATGCCCGGATGATCAGGGGCGGAGCCGAGGGGTGGAGCCGGGAGGGGCGCTAAGTGAAGGGCGTGATCTGGAAGGTTCGGAAAGGGCATGGTGGAAGGTGGAGATAGGATGACGAGATAGGAGAATTTAAGGGGGATCCGGAAGAGGCTCGTCGCAGTTGGCATAGACTCGAAGTGGGACCACGTCGAGCCGTGGAAGGTCTCCAGCGCCATCGGCCACATGGCTGGAGACGGCTCCAAGCACACCATCAGCCAATGGTGTGCAGGAGTGCAACTGATGGAAAGAGCACGCGGGGCGTGTTGTATATGTTGGTTATCAAAATTTGTTATGTTGTATGCGTGCGTGGGTGAAATTATTATGTTGTATATGTGGGTTATGAATATTCAGTGAAAATAATAATAATTAAATGAAATTTGGCCAAATGTATAATTATCCAGAAATATGTTAATTTATGTAATTATGCACATTTTAATTATGCCAATTCGAGAGGTAATCGTATTAATTCTGCGAGTGGGTGTAATTATGATAATGCAAGTCGTTATGATAACCAGACCCCGCCTCGGTGACGAGGGTGGGTTATCGATCGGAATAAGGCAATTAATCGTATGCAGTTATGCAGGTGTGGTGTAAGTATGCAAGATTAACTTAGATTAACTCGGCATCGTTGTCTAGGTTCGTCTCATTCTCGCTTTAACATTCCCAGAGTGTGTATTCGTGGTTATATTTTAGGTCCCCGGTTCACCCCGTTATCGCTTTAACATTTACTGAGTATGTATTAGTGTGTTTATTAAGGTCACCAAGTTCAGATCTCAACGCAGAAGCAGATCTTATGCATAGATTTCAGGAAAGAATCACACAACCACTTCTGTATTGATCAATTTATTACTAATTCAACCTTAACTATGATATAGTATGCGAACTCTCAATCCCGGAACGTCAACACGGCATCAATACAGTATCATCAACGATTGTCTGATTTCACTTTGACAACGGCACATGGATCCCGCATAACGCGATGGTTGTTAGTGAGAGAGAGAGTCGTTAAAATATGCAAATACTATGCTAAGAAAACCTTAACGTTAATGAATGATTATACTCAATATTGTTCACGCAGTACCGCACTCCTTATTGATCATACGCAACCCTTATCACGTTGTTAGCACCTTGGGTCACGGGACAGTTGAATATTCTGTAGAGGATGCGAGTACGTGCGGCGATTATGACTGAAAGATACTTGAAAGATTATACGGCGATAAAAAAAAACACAATCAAAAACAGTTATTATTCTTAAAGGCACCAATCTCAACAGATACATCGGCAGGTTATCTGACAACAGAACGGCTCGGAGTAAGGGCCTGCGACGGTGCTCCTTTTCCGAAGATCGTTATCTTATACCAAGTTTACTAATTGGGGACCAGATCACCTGATAAGGATCCGGTGGGCCACCACTCCCCACGTGAGCGTGGCTCGGCGGAAGGAGGTGCCAAGAATCAGTTCGTATTGATGGATCTGTTGGGAATTTATGCGATTAAGAGTACAGCCCACTAAATATTAAAGATAAAAATTACGAATACTTTTATAAACGACGGATGGCCATCACTCGGTCTCGTTGTGATGCCTTCCCAGCCACAGATGGCTTATGGGTTCGAGTGTGTTTGAGTGGTAAGAGTTGTCTTGAATAGTCAGTGTTCGGAGTCGATTCTTTATGTCAAACAGACGCCTGGTGGTCGTGTGGTGAGGGGGCGGTGCGCGTCATACGTATCAGTCGCTCCCCTGTCACCGTGGGGAACTGGTTCGGATGCCCGTTGATACGCTGTCGCAGTTCGGAACCCGGTCGGTAGGTGGCGCCCACAACTCGTTCGCAGCGTGCAGTGTCGGGTCGTCGTGTGCACGGAGCCTCGTCGCCAAACCGCGACCCTCACCACTCCGGCGGCAGCAGAGACCTCCGACTCGGCAGAGGTTGACCCACGCAGGCCGAGTTGAGCTGTCAAGCGGGTCTTGCCCGCCTGCAGAGGAGATGGGGAGCCGCTTGAGTCGAGCCCCGAGAGCCGGCTTTGGCAAGCCGATCGAACTCGGCTGAGTCCCAGACGAGCTGAAGATGAGTCGAGCCGA